TGATGATGCATACAATGGACTCCGGACTAGGTGCGTTCCTCTAAGTCTTCCTACCAATATGACCAATTTGAGAAAACAAGGTCAAACAACTTCAATAAAATCCATGTTCACATTATTTAGTTTAAAGTGATGGGCTGGTAGCTGGATTTTCCTACAATATGTCTAGAGCCGACGATTTCATTTCATCTCATAGCCTTATTTCCCCAAGAGACGTTCTCATCTAAAGTGGACTGCAATTTTGACCTCGCCTAAGTCTTCTCAACATCCCCAACACAAGTCGAACCTTGACAAGGCCGCGTGTAACCTCAACGTGTCAACAACTACGCCACATTGACACAAGTAGCCTTGGGTTACAGGGCCTGGCCTGCCTTTCACTTCACATCTGGCGAGGTCAAGACAGCATTCCACATTGGATGAGAATAACTTTAGAGAAGGCAAGACCGTGAAATTCAGCGCAGCTTTACTTAATCACCAGTGCTTCATCACCTTAAATGAGATTGAGGAAGCATAACTCATAGATCTGATCTAATAGTAGTCTTGAAAACCCACTCAAAACGAAATTAAACAACAAAATAAGCAACTAAATTCTAGGCAAATTGATTTATTCAGGCGCCGATATAAATATTAGTAAACCTAGTTATTATCTTACAAAAGAAGTAATCCTCATAGCTTACGCACTGGATTGTAAATAAGATTTCAAACAGTTAGGTGGCTTATTCAGCCTTGATGTAAACCAAATATAAAACGAAGGGAAAACAAGTTTCTGGAAAAATCCTCACTAATTCCGAACATCAATAAAGTTCTCTTCATAATGAGAATAAACAACTTTTAACCCCTGTATGCCAGAATAGGCTATCAGAAATTTCATAAAAACACTACAGAGCTTTGGATCTAAACTCATCTCCAAGCAGCCTGAACGGAATTATCTCGGACCCAAATTAAGCAGTCATGAGTTAATTGCGAATAAAAGTTGGGTTTTGAGGAATTTCTTGCTTCAAACATCTTGAGCTTACTTCCATTTATAGTGAAAGTGTTTGATGAAGAGGTTCGAAGGTCAAAACCACCAGAATACGACGTCAGATTCCTCTTGACCAGCTGTCGATCGGCTTTACTGGAACATTCATGGATTTGAAGGGGATTAACTTGGAAACAGCGTCAACATGAATGTCCAAGCAGAGCCAATCAATAGCTGGTCAAGAGGAATCCACCGCCGTCGTCTGGCGAAAACGACCTTCGAACTTCTTCACCAAGCATTATCACTCGAAATGGAAATTCAACAATCAAGTAACTGATAGGTGAGTGGCCAGGTAAATGACCAAAGGACTATTCATATCTGCAACCTAGAGACCAAGTGGCGTGGTAATAAGTGGCCTTTGAATTTATATTAATATGTTTAAAATGCCTTAGATGAGCATCATGTAAGGAGGGTAGTCAGAGGAACCACAAGTAATGGGACTAAAAGATATGATTTGATTTTAACAAGCGAGTTTCCAAAAGGCATAATTGGGTTAAATTGGTTTTAGATAAGGAAATTTGAATTACTTAGTCTCGAAGTCTAATGAATCAATATCACTGATTATCCGCAGGCCTTTTTGATAAAGAAGAACACCGTTCCTAAATAAAATAATTTAAAAAAAGTGTAAAAGCATCAAATAACTCGAAGATAAAAGTAAAACACAACATTTCCCTAAGTTACCATGCTATCATGACTCCATTATCAGTGCAGAGAGAAGGCGGCGGAGCGACAAAATTAATTTTGTAGTGAGCTGCAACCCGCTCCAAGTTATCGCGAATCAATTGGTTGGCTCCTACACCTCCTGAAACTACCTAAGTATAAACCAAAAAATATAGCAATTGCTTAAGTTATTTCATTTAGAACATGTATAGTAAAACAAAGAGACAAATCAATCTCTAATTAAAGTATTTTGGTACTGAGGATAAACATACAAGTGATGCCACATGAAGCAAGCAACAACACTTGTAGCGCAAAGGCCTATACATGGCTATTGGAGGATGAGGCACAAAAATAATGTTACAGCCTCAACTTAAATCTAAGGGTAAAGAAAAATTCACTTTCAAGGATACCGGGACAAATACCTAGAACTAGGTTGGCTCCCCTTACAAAGTTTTATGAGCAATGACCTTAAGGTGTAGGCCCCAGACAAGCTTAAGGAAATTATCTTTGTCACGGCCTGATGTTGACTAATACTTACTGGAAAATCAGAGCGCACCTATCTTGAAGCGTACAAAGAGTTTAAAGCAAGTCCCTACCAATAAATGGTTATCAAATTGAAGAGGCTGGACAAAGATCCGTTGACAGAACCTAGAACCATTATTCTAGCTTAGCAAAAGATGCTTTCTAAAAATTTAACGAATAAAACCGAATGGAGTTAAGTAGGCAATGTAAACATAAAAAAGCTGACATTGAAAGCGAAGGTTATAATCAATAACGAAGAAATTGCGTGCAAAATGAAGAGGAAAGATGATAACTCTAAATAAGTGAGAATGTGCAAGTCATTTATTAGTTGCTTGGGTCCACTAAAACAAGGTGATTCGACACAATAAAGAACATAATAGCCTAATGACAATGAATTCAGCATATAAAAAGGAAAAATATACTGATGAACATATAAAAGATCAAATTAGTAAGCATTTAGTTCACATACTAGGGAGGATCCTTTAAAAGCAGACTCAGACGAATCCGAACATGGAAATTCAGCTCCGGAATTGCGAACAAGCAGACCGTTAGATAACGCGAATTCGATAGCCCTTTGCGTCTTGCGGCAAATATGTTTTGATATAGTATACTGTATTGACGCACAAACATCCGAAACTATTGATAAATTCAAACGCGGCAAAACTGAATTGGTATTCATTAAGCGTTCTTCTGCAGAAGCCACTAAAAAATTTAAAAAAGTAAAGATGCAGGGACATAGCCAAGGAATATATACAGATACATATGCATTTGAAAATTATTTACCGAATTCTTCGCCTTCATGAATGTCTGACCTAGATAGATTATCCAATTCAATGCGTTCAATTAAGCGTTCAGCTGCTACATGAATCCCAGAAAACGAAAAATCGCAATCCCTTGATACACTCCTTGGTAAAGGAAGAGAATACGCCCTTGGGTTTCCTTTCAGAATTTGATATATAAGCTCCATAGCCCTTCCACCGCTAACACAAGAAAGGTCATGGTCGGGAGATATACGTAATGATGGGAGATGCAAGCGTCGAGATAGCTAAAAAGATATATATAAGTATTCGTTTGTTTTTAGCTGTTATAAAACATTATTTTGTATTACTTTATCAATAATTGCCCCCGGAGACGCATCAAGCCCTGTACCAAGGAGTACAAAATCGTCAACGCCACGAACAACAGCAATTAAAGAATGACCACCACTCAATAACAGAACAATAAAGGGAAACCGAAGTCTGAAATAAAATTCAGATTAAAAAAGTAAAAGGACGTTTGTTACCTTTTCTCGGTCAAAAGGGCCGTTAATGCGTGTGCTTCCATATGGTGAATAGGAATGATGGGCAAACTGGGGCATTAATAACTAGG